CCCCCCCCCCAAAAAAAAATAATGACATTATTCTGCATGAACAAATAGACAATTTTATTTGAGCTAAACTATGACGAAAAACGAAAAATTATATTAAAAATAATAAAATGATAAGTTAAATGTATGATCTAATAAGTAACAAAACAAATTGCTAAATCAAAATGATGACTTACTAAGTCCAGAAAAGATACTAAGTCGAATTAATTTAATACTAGGCTAGATCAAACAAAAAATACTGCTCACAAGTAAAAAAGTACAAAAACAAACAAAAACAAAAAACCAATTCAAACTTAAAACGTAATAAGATGAAGTTGTACTGGTGAAAAAAGGATCCTAAGTTTGATCAAAAATTGAACAAAATTATAACATTAAGTCCAAAAAATAGATGCTATTTCAACCTTATGCCTGAGTTAGGCCCTTCTTATATTTTCTTTACTTACTTAAACAAAAAGTATAATTCGCCAAACTTTGATGTATTTTCTTTTAATGTTGGAAATTGTCTTTCATATATTTAAACTGTCTTGCTGTTGTTATGAGATCATCACTTAAAGTTATTTTCTACTTGAACCTCTGCTTCTATGCTTTGTCATTTATTGTAGCCAGTGTTTCTCTTTAATCCAGAATCTGTGCATGGATATATACCATAACCATATTGCATTTTTGGACTAATTCAGTAAGGTACATGAGGTACAACAGAACTGAGTAGACGGTCTTTCTAAGCAGCACATTTCATGTAACGCTTTAATTTTGAAGGCTAAATTACTCGTCTTCCGATTGTGCCATTTTATTTTCTGTCTCTTTTCGTTTGTGCCCTCCCTTCACACTCCCTAATAGCCCGGAAATTTTCTCCAAATTACCCACCTCACGCCCACTCGGTTGTTTCCATCAACTAAAACACGCATGTTGTGTTTTTCATCCACCAAATGCACTGATGTCAGAGAAAGTGTAATTTTTGTACCTTTATTTAGGAAATCTAATGGCTTATTTAAATGTTTCACTTTGATCAATTAAACATGAAATTATTATTATATATCTACACAAAGCCCTACAAACTCATTGTTTGTAGGGCATTGATTCCATGGAGACAATATATATATAAGTTACGGAGAGATAATATACAGGATACTATTCAAGGAACAAAGATACATTCTTTCATTTTAAAATAAAAACAATGACCTACTTGGCCTAATCTATATCAGTAGTAGCTACTAATTTTGAAAGAGCAGTCTTGCTGTCTATCTGATTATTCACGTTTACATAAAGGTTTTTATTGTTACTTTATTAGCCTTTTCTATTTAAAAAACAAGGCATTCTCTGACCTAATACACCATTATTTATAGCAAAACACTCCAAACAGCAAGCCTTTAGTATTTTACCTTCACTCACCATTAAGGATATAACATATTTATCCAAGGAGTGGCCAAAACTGCAAACTGTGGGTAAAGCGGTATAGATGGTTACATAATATTACTATATGAATTCTTTGATGTCAGTTATTTTGTAATGAGGACCGATGTTCAAGGAAGAAATAGCAAAATATGACCACGGTCTGTGGTGAAATTCTACAGAAAGTGAATTAATTAATAGTTTGACAAGGGGAACTTGAATAGAGGATTTCCTCAATTTTTCCCTTCTCTGTCACAGCAAGACTGATAAAAACTACAATTGTTAGGCCTGACTTCAATTTATTAAATTTCAAAGAAAAGTGTGCAAAATACATCTATTAATTTGCTTTGCATCAGCAGATGAAAGTGAACAGAACAAATCCAATCATGAGTTATAGCCTTACACATTTTCTGTTAGTTTTGAACATACAAAAGACCTCTAGCATCAATATACAGCATGTAAACTTAAAAAAATAAAATAAAAATACAAAAGTAATACTGACAAAATTGCTGTAACCACATGTGCAACTCCAACAACTCCTGAATTCTTAATGAAATATACAAAATTACATAACAACTACCACTGTAATTTCTATTTTGTTATCAATCTCTATTTATGACAATTAAAGTTACTTTTGACCATGACAAGCAGATTTTCTTTCATCTGTTCAAATCTTATTGAGTGAAACTTTAAGACCCAAATATTTTCCTAAATAATGTTTACCAATTATAATGGTTTAAATCCTCATACTGCAGGATTATTACAAACATTCAGTACCTCTTTTAACAGGTTTAAAGCTCTCTAGCATCCCTTCTTTAACATTCTCATTTTTGTGAAGTTTGTTAGTCTAGAAATTGAAATGTGGGCTCTTCAGTGTCGACACAAGAAACATCCTCACAAACATTTGTCTCATTGAAGTGATTTGAATAAATGAAAACTGTAGAGAGCAACTGGGATCCTTCAAACATATTCTCAAATCAAAGAAAGACATGTTTGCCTTCATCATCTCACCACTGTCCTGAGGAGTCAGCGTCACAGCTTTACAGTGTCATGTGGCATTCATACCTGATGGTGAAATGGTGAGAGACAGACAGAGAACAGGGAGAAAAAATAAAAATAAAAAGAGAAAAGGAGTCACATGAGCGCTATTCTCCTGAGTGAGCCTCCAGGTCTGTGATCAGCACATTTCCATCCGACTCTGTAGCCTGTGAGCTGGTTTGTCTGTAATAAGCGCTGCCAAGAGTGGGAAGCCCACGAAAACGTGAAGCGTTCCTCTTGTACACAAACCACATCGCTCCTGCCAGCAGGGCAAAGATCAGTACAGCCACCAGCACTGCAGCGGGCATGATACCATCATGTGAACCTGAAATACACAACATGATCATTTTTATGTAGTCGTATGTAGTAGTATGTTTTTGTTGAATTATAGATATACAGACATATATTTGTAACATGCATCAGATTATATTACAGATTCTGTAAGTGATGAATCACTCTCAGCACGTTTAATCATATACTGTATCCCTACTGAGCTTCTGGCTGAGCACAGCTTCACAATCTGAAACAATGTGCTTATCCCTATGGCACCTATAGGACACATACATGTGTCTAATACAGGAGTCTCAAATACTGCTGGTATTCTCATCTCATAGGAAGGCCACTTCATCATTCAATTACTACAAGAAAGTGCAATATTATTAAGTTTCCATATATTTTTATTTATTTTTATATAATCTTTGAAGGCCTGAAACCTGCTTCCTTTTTGTCAACCTTTGACCTTTGCCATTATTTTAGGCCAAATAAAATACATTTTTAAAAATAGAATTGTGTTTTTATTTTAATTGTACATGAAGGGGTAGTTTAAATTGATATAAATGATGATCTTGCAGGCCGGTAGTTTAACCAATCTTTAGCCACTGCCATGCTACCGGCAGTCAGCATGGCAACTGTCAAAAGATGCATGGCTGTGTTTTATTAGCAGTTCCACTTCCCCTCAGCCCTTGGTATTATGTAACAGCAGCAGGGAGCGGAGGCAAAGGGGATTTAAATGGAACGCTCTGGTAAACTTTCAGCATAAGCTGTCATGGATCAACACTATACTACTTCTTACAAATCATCAGAAATACCAGCAGACTCATTTGAGGTGAAGGCGTCTATTACAATATGGCAGTTGTTGGTACTTACCACTTTCTGATTTAGTTTGTTTAATGATTATCATGACTATTATTGCTACTGTGCGCCCCGCCCCCTCAGTCCTCCAAGGGTTCACTTCGCTTAGGTTTTTCAGACAAATTAAACAACACTTGGGATTCCCCGTAGAGCAAGTGCCAAGGGGAAGTGTACAAGAGTGCACACTGAACAATTATTGAAACCCAGCCTTACCTTGCATGCAACTCACACGGCTGCATTACCCTGCCTGGACAAATGCAGTCCCATTATTGGTAACTGCCCCCTTTTGTACAAAAAGTGTATTGCACCACACAAAGGCAAACAAACAAATAATGTCTCTTACAGTGTACTTTACCATTTAGAGGTTCCACTTCAACCTCAGTGTTTGCATCTGTAAAAGAGCACATAAAGTGAAGTTCAGTATAATATATGATATATAATATCATGCCTCATCTTGGGTATTCAGACCATGAGCAAAGAGGAAAACTTACAGGTAGTCATATGATCAATTGTTAATATAAAAATATTGATTAGAGCCGCGTTAATCTTTCTGTGTACAATCACTTGAACAGCTCCATGCAGTTGTGTCTTAGTCTATAAGGAAAACCCTGTCCTAACCTGATGTAAATATAACCTTTGCCTTTGTGGCTCTTACCCGATCCATACATTTTTATCAACACAAAATCTACAGCTAATTATTTGTTAATTTCTCTTTTTTAATTTGAACCATATGACATTGTCACTTGGGTAAAAGGTGTATATTTTGGGGACCCACAGCTAGAGAAGTCCAGCAAATTGTCCCAATATGTTCATCACAGATGACCCAATATTCTCTCAAGCGGCTCCAGAGTCCCAAGCTCCGGCACAGATTCAACTTACTCGAGACAATTTTGCAGACGAAGCCGAGCCGCTCGGTGCACCCTGACAGATGCCACACACCGTCAACCACCCTGGTAGTAACACAGGAATCTGCAGTCAGCAGCTTGGGGTCTGGGGCTTTGCTGGGCCAGTTGGTGTACTCCATAGGCGAACCATCAACCCAGGACATGGAATCAGCTAAAAGCAGAGGCCACTATTTAATGAAATGGGATTGCAGGGAACTGTGATCAGCTGATGGGTATGAGAGAGTCCTTACTGTCA